CACTAAAGCAAAATAGAAATGCTCATCTGCAAGAACTTTCAGGCCTGCAGTGTTATCTCCATAACAGGTATCTGGGGGATGTTGTTTCTAGGCTGGCTATTAATTGTGTAAGGAAACTGACCATTGCAAAAAGCTTTTGTGCCAGCTCTGATTCCAGCCATGTCTCCCCTCGTGAGCCCCATGGTGTTTGTGAATGTCCTCTTTTTTTTTTTTTTTTTTTTTTTTTTTTTTTTTTTTTTTTTTTTTTTTTTTTTTTTTTTTTTTTTTTTTTTTTTTTTTTTTTTTTTTTTTTTTTTTTTTTTTTTTTTTTTTTTTTTTTTTTTTTTATTGAGGGTTTGAACTGCTAACAAATTTTGTTTTGACAGCTCAGAGGAATTAAACCTTAAAACAAATAGCATTTAAGCCTTGAGCAATAGCAGCATATTTTCCTTCACAGTGAAGGTCTTGAACTGGAAGGCCTGTTTTTAATGAAAAAGACACCTACGGAGAAAAAAGACCTCTTTGTTTAGATCACCTTGGTTTCATACAAACATTAGAAAGATCATTTTCAAAGCTCCTGTCCAGAAATATTTCATAACTGTACAGGATTAACTGAACAAAGTTATTAAACTTTTTTATTTATTCAGATTAAGACCTTTGTTTGAAGAACATTAAACACGTGTCTTCTACTTGGACTGAATGTTTCTGCTTTTAAAGCAGTCATTTCTGCTCACTAAACAAGAAATGAGAAAGTGAAATGTACAGTATTTAATCCTACTTGAAAACATTGGCATGAAAAAAATTCTCAACCTTTTTTTTTTTGGACATATGCTCAAGTTGTAAGAGAAAGGATGGAATAATAATATAATAATAATATAATAATTTTGCTTCTAATGGCAATGATGCATCAAGGGTTGGACTTGATGATCTCGAAGGTCTCTTCCAACCCAGTTAATTCTATGATTTTGGGATCACTTATTTTTCATGTTGCATTTTGTTTGAAAACTTTTAATAGTGATAATTTTTATGCATGGAGACATATTTTCGAGGATATTTGTTTAATGGTTCACTCTTCTGATAAGTAACAGACTTGTTGTTAGAAACAGAAATTTACATTTTTATTCACAAGCTTCAAGATCAGTACCAATGAAATGTCAATATTTCATTGAATCAGAGTTTCAGTGATACCTGTATTATACGCTTTGCAAATTTTTAGCAGTTATATACTTCAGAGTTTGGACAAAAATGTTTTCTCAACTAAAATGACATCAAAGCTTGAAATTTAGCGGGTGATATGAGTTTTATCCATTCTGTTTTCTAACATACCTCCAATAAATGAAAGTTCAATAGCATTTTGCCTGTGTTACCTTGATAAAAGTCATCTGTTTAGTAAATGCTAAAATCACTAATTGTTACATCAAAGTATAATATCTTGGACAGTAGAAATACTTGGAGATATCAAGATGGAAATCTTTCTGGGGCTTTCTTCACAAAGTACATGTAGGAAGCTTTATATTTTTTATTTTCACTACTCAGATTTATTATTATAAGGCAAACAAATGAACAGTAGATATGGCAGGATACTTATTTGTATTTTGTGAAGAAAATATTTGTGTGAAGAGATTTCTTTTCATTATTTAAGTTACCGTTTTCACAGATATTTTTAGAAATTTCAGGAATCCTCATTTTTCTGGTAGCATTTTCAGATTTTCTTTATAGTTAGTGAAAAATAAAATGCCAAAGAAAAATATTAAGTTTCTAGAGTCTCTGTAAAAATACATTTTATTGAGATGAATTTGACTTTGGGATGTTTCTTGATGAAGGAAAGGCAAATAATTTCAGACCAAGCACAGGGCAACAGCCTCTATAAGCTAGTCAAATTCCTTTTACTTCTAAGTGACTGTAGATCAAAAAGAAGGGGAAAATTGTGATATCAATCAATTAGACATGACGATAATATCTGTTGTGTGCAGTGATGGTTTCTACATAAAATAAACACTCATGCCATACTCTGACTTTGGGAAAGTTCAGTATTTCTGTGTGTTTCTATTTTGATGTTCAGTAAAACTCTGGGTTTTGTTTCAGATGCTAAATTTGTTCGGATCATTCTCTCCTTTTCCCCAGACAATTCTAAACGTAATTAAATTTATTGCACTGTATGATTTATTCTTTCTTTCTTTCTTCCAACCATCGTGCCTTTTTAAGTAAAGAAAACAAATCTCACAAAACTAATTTAGTATTTTTGGATTCCCACATCTATTTGTGTCTGCTTGCATCATGGGGGAAAAAATGCCACACGACTCATAGGAGGGTGACATAAAAGTCTATATGTGGCTGTTGACTGGCGAGCGTTCCTTTTAGAATATCCCAAGAAACAGTACAAGCAGAAACTTCATAAGTAGTTCTTCAGGTTTTGGGGTGGTTTTGTTTATGTTTTGATACAAGTCACCACCTGTATTTTAGTCCGCAGACTTTGGCTTCATTTATGCTCTGGTTTTGTCCAAGGTGATTGCTGATAGCAGGGATGAGTGGCCAGGGGTGGACGGAACCCAGTCTGGGACCCGATGCAGTGGGAGAGGAGGCTTGTCAGCCTCATCAAAAAAAGCTCTGTGGTGCTGGGCTGAGCCTTCAGCATTTCCCTTGGCCCTGGCTCTTAACATACACAGCACAAGTGTATGATCTTGTGCTGCCAGTGGACTGTGGGTTTCTTAGGTTGTTAAGCCAGGTGATTTTTTAGTCACAGATCATCATAGGTGTATTTAGAACGGAAGTTTGGCTTTACAGAGCAATATGATAAAGTGTAGGGCAGTTGCTGATTGTTACAGTGTGATCAATCGTGATGTTCCTTTGGAAAAAAGCACGTGTTCTTTCCCATACCATGTTAATGTAGGCTTTAAGACAGAATTTTCTTAATGCATGAGAAATTAAAATCAGTGCTTTCTTATCACTCAAAGAAAATGAAGTATTAAAAAAGGAAGCAACTTGTGACGGTAAATTATTATGATAATTTATTTGCTGGACAGAATTGTTGCTACCCTTGAAATTGGCTTTTAATTTCAGTGAAACAGAAAAAAATTGGTAGCTATCTCTTATACAGTGTATTATTATTCAGGAGCTCTCCGAAAACAATGAAAAAGCCAACCAAAATATTAACTTTTTTTTTTTTTTTTTTTGACCTCTTGACTGCTTTCCTTTCTGAACTCAGATTTTAACAGATTTTCTTAAGATTAAGTTCTTGGAACCCACATTTATTATTTTTTTGGGTGTGGACACAGATCAGGTAAATGAGATGTCAGTAGATGGATTTCTGCTCAGAAATATGTGTGCATGTAAGTTACATATACACACAAACTCCTAAATTTGGCTTTATGGCTGTACAAGATGTGTATTCAGGTAAGTAGGGACAACAAAATAGAAACTTTTATAGGTAACAGAAGATAGGATGAAGATATGTAGTATTTTCTGAGGAGTTTTTTTTCCCTTTAAAGTTCTGTTCTGTTGCAGGAGTGTAAGTAGGTTGCAGTGTGTGAATAGAGTTCATGATGCTGAGTAACAGAGAATGAAGACTACACAAACCCATCCTTTCTTTGCTTGTGATACCTGCCAAGTCTCCAGCTGAGCGAGTCTTTCTCCTTGGCTCTTCTTGGTGTCCTTAAAAACTGTGAAAGCCAGATACTAAATTGGTCAGAACAGACCTTTTACATTTTGGCTGTCTTCCTCTCTTTATGGTCTGACTTGTCTCTTCCTCTGACATCAGTGGGTGTTTGATCAAACCTTTACTTCTGTGAAAATCACAGAGACTGGAGATAAATCGTATAATTATAGAATGAAAAAAAAGCACCTTTACATTTTTTGTAGCAGGAGAAAATGTAAGTAATGCAGAAGGAAGGAGTGCCATTATTTAAAACAGCCTCATAATTTTGTCTTAGTAGCAATTGTTGCATTTGTTGCAAGTTCATTAACTGACTTCCTGCTATGGTTTGTAGGGCTTGTGGTTAAGACAGTTATACCTGAAAGTCTCATACTAGCACTTGCTGTAGTTTAAAGGGAAGGCAGATGTCATCTATTGTACAGGAAACAGCCAATTTCTTGCATTGGGCCTGTAGCCTTACATTTCTGTCTCTTAAACCACGTAATCTATTGAAAATACACAGTGAACATCTGACCCTTGTAGTGTGCATTTAGACCTCCACAGCTGTTAATGATGAAAAGATGTAGTACTTGAGTACTTGTTCATACCCATTTTTGCTGTTTAAGTACAGTGTTTTGTCACAGGGTTTGCATTGTATCTGAATGATTTTCCTGTGTAATAACTGCTCCTGAAAAGGTAGAACTTCAAAGTGAAACAGACTGACAAGGAGGGCAGGCGACAGAGGGAGGACATGTCATTCCCAGTTGCAAAAAAATCTGTGTGTTTCTCTCTTACAGTGTATATAAATGAAAAACAACCTTCTGGTGGAACATTGACAGTAATTTTTAACTAGGCTGTTCTTCTATCCTGGAACCTAAATCCCGAGAAATTAGAAATAGGACAAGCTAACTTGAGGAAAGATAACAAACAATATACAGAAAACAGAAATATTACCAGAACTTGTAGCCCTTTAGTTTTAGATCAAAAATGTAATTTCTTTCAAACAAATGGCATCATGTTCTGGTTCATCAGCAAAGTCTGAGAGTTTTAGCTCTTGCAGGTGAGAGTTGCAGTGACTGCATGTTGCTTCTCTGAGGAATAGAAAAGCCTGGCTTTAGCTGTGGTGTCTCCTTTCTACTTGCAGACCTTTGGAATTGAGAAATTATTAATGTAATTAAATGTAGTTTAAGCAAAGTTAAGAGGTTTTTTGGTAACTGTTGAAAATGAGCTGAAACAGGATGTGCTTGTTTGCATCACTGGTACTGTTTTTGTAAATGTTTTGTAAGTGCACTCTCCTGGGCTTCAGCCCAGTTGTCTGCACTCTGAGAGATGTGAGCCTGCTGTTGGAAGTAGGATGGGAGTGAAGGGCTCACTCAGATTGTTTTTTTTTCTGCAGGTTTTACTGAAACAACCAACATCAGTCTGGCTTGAACCAACTTGCTTGGGCCTCTACAGGTAGGCACGTTAGAAAGTCTTGTAGCAAAGAGGTAAAAAATTATGGGGCCTATAAGTAGCATGAGTTCTTTCTGCTGAAGGGTTATGGGGATAACAGGTGTGAACCAGAGGCCAGATGAGGTCTAAAACACCAACAGATTTCAATTGGGGAATTACTATCTGAAGGCAACTGATTTAGCCAGAGGAACCTGAGGTCTCTGCAAAGTTAAATACTTTTGTTTTCTTAATGCTTCTAATTTGTATCACTAGAATAATTAAAGTGGTTTTGCTGTATTAAACATTAAACAAGGAAACAGTTGCTAAGAAGTTTAAGTGTTTAAAGTTTTTGAGTAGAGGTTCTCCAGTTTTGCTGTCGCTTTTGCTTATACCTGTCAAAAACCCCTAGAAATACGGATCACAGATGTGTCAGGCTTTGCTGATGTCTCTTTATGACATGTCTTGTGTCTCCACAGATTTTCTGACATTTTTTTATTTATTTATTTCTTGCCAAATGGATTATTTCAGCCTTTCACAGAAGTGAAGCAATTCAGTTCTGTGTAGTTATTGATCAGTGCTTCCTAGCTAGTTTTTAAGGGGACAGCTTTCCTCAAGACACCTGACACGCTTATGATCGATAACTTTGTGTTGGCTTTCTGCTCCTCCTGTGCTCAGGGACACAAAATTCACTCCTTGGGAAACTGAGTTCTTCCTGTTTGTCACCTAGTCCTTCATGTTGAAAACAGCTTTAAGTCGAGCACTGGTGTCTTCCTGTGAATGAATTCACAAGAGTGAATTTTACGGACATTGGTGAAGTTACTTGCGGAATAAAGGAGATGTCTGACTGGAGTCAGTGTTTTAAATAACTTCCGTTAAAGAAATTACCTATAACCATAGGGAAAACCACTTTGTCCTTGAGCATTTTTCAAAAACAAATTGAAAGGAGTTACTAGAGGGACAAGGGGAGGTGGTTTTTATGCTTGTGGATGTATGGTTGTAGAGGCAGAGGGCAGGTATAATTGAGTATGTAGCAGTGGAGGTGTATTTTGTGGCAACATGCATCCTTCTTTCTGCTACTTGAACCTGGTCTAAATATTTCTGCTGTATTCCAGTCCAAGCAACTGGAATTGTGTGCAGCTGCCTTGCTGTCAGTGGTCAAAATTCAGTATTCAAGCTGTGTATAAACATTGATGAGGTTTCAAATAATCCTAAGGGGCAGGTCCTCCTAGTTGTGTTCCAACACTTGAACTTCTGTGGTTCAGGTCTTCAAAGTTCCCTCTGCTAAATCACGAAAGAGCAGAGATTTGCAGTGATGGTTACTTAGCTTTAGAAATCAGGTCTGAGACTTTGCCTGGTCTTGCAATGTTAGCAATTGGGCATTTGAGGAAAACATTCAATATCACGCAGTTTATGATTCCTGACGTGCTATGTAGGTCCACAGGTACTTTAAAACTTCTGACCCTGCCTCAGCTTTGGGACAACACAGTGTGCAGTTAGATGGGTAGGTCTGTACCTCTGTGTTGTCTTCTTAATGTATTTGCTGAACTTATTCTAAAGAGATTCAAGTTTTGTAGACTATGTAGCTTCATGTTCTAAGTGACATTTCTTCAAGAAATATATGAAAGGATTTCTTGTAAATACAAGACTCATTCTTTGGCACAAGTTTTACATTACTTAAAAGAATTTCAGGACAAAAATATACCTGCTTTTACTTTTAAAAATTACACTTGTCTGTATTTTTCAAGTAGATAATTAACTTCGGATGATTTTGTGGCAGCACTGTTTTAATCATCTGAAGGGTGACAAAGCACATAGACTTGGCAAAATAAAGCAAAAGTACTAAAAAAAAAAAAAAGCTGATTGATTCAGCTGTGTTCACATGTAATGAAAGGTTAGTGCTTGATTGTGGTGCATGTGTGCTTAAGTGAGGATGTCGCTTTTGATTAGCCCCAAGTGTACAAGTCTCAAATTTTAGCACCTTTGTGACAGTTTCGTATGGTGCAAAAATAGGTTATATTTTGTTTGTTCACACAGGCAACAGGATGAAGATTTTCCAGGAGATGAAATATTTTTCGAATCTTTAACTGTGTAATCTCTGTCTAAAGTAAGACATACCAGTTTAATTACTTACCAAAAAATTATTTTTTTTTTCATTTCTTATTAGGTTTGTTAGCTCTCAGGCTTGAGAGATCACAGAATCACAGAATTGTTAGAGTTGGAAGGGACCTTTGGAGATCATCTAGTCCATCCTCCTCGCCAAAGACTGAGAGGATAGAGAAAATGAGAAACAGTAATTTCCTGAATTTTCTCATTTTTGTGCTTGCACATGACAGTAGGAGCACTCGGGCACTTGGTAGCAATTCAGAGATTAGCTTGGAAACATCCTGCTCTATCCCAGCTGCTCTCAGTGTTCTCCCAAATTGAATGCTAAGGATGCTATTCAGTGGCTCATTTCTTGCTGGGATTACCACCGTATCGTAGTACTGCCCCTTATTTATCTATCTTTTCCACACCCTCCTCCAGTGTTCTTTGTACTTTGAGAAAATTGATGAGTAGGAGATTGTGGAGGAAAAAAGAGGATGAGCAGCGCCCAAAACTTCCAAGATGTAAAGAAGCAACTCTGTTAGTTATCCTTTCCTCCTGTGTTTGTCATCCATCTCCTCAAGAAGACCCTGTACTTGGTAGCTCCTCCTTGAAGTACAAGAAAGTGTGTGGGCTTAAAGAGGACAATAAAAGGCAACTGCTTCAGGGAGCTGTGTTACAAATTTCAGGGTGTTGATAATAGAGCATCACAGAAAGATTAAACTCTGCAGTACCATTTTTTAATTTTTCTGTGGATGTGTGGCTTTGCAGTATTAGATGCCAAATCTGCCATGGTACCTTTCCAGGCTGGCAGCCTGTGCAATAGAGGCTCTTGTGGAGGCTCTGCACAGCAGTTCTTCTGGAATTACTGATGTTTTTCTTCTTATTAGCTTTTCTGTCAGTGCCACACAACTCTGAAAAATGGCACTAGAGCCAATCAGCAATGCAACACTTGGAGAAAGCTGCACTGACAATAAAGGGATATTTATGTCACAAAGCCAAAAACCCCGGAGTTTCAGGGATGGGTGGTCCAAAACAGCATCCTAGCTCAGCCTGTCATGTGTTTTGTATAACTGAGCTACAGCATGCTCAGGGATCCTGGAGGATTTGCATAGCTCCATATTGCAGCTTCAGGAGCCAAACCTTTGAGCATTGCTTAACAGCAGGCCAGCAGTTTCTGATCTGTGGTACAGGAAGTGGTGGAAACTTGCATGGTATTGCTTTCCCTTTTTTTATTATTATTGCCCTTATTGCATTAGAGAGGCTAAGCAGACCTTAAATACTTCATGTGAAGTAGCACTTGCTTTGATAGAAGAATTTGTTATCTGATGGTAGCTACCTAGTCCCCTTGAACAAGGAAGCTTTGATTCAGGGAATGACTTTTGAAATCTCTGATAATAGAGTTCTGTTGGTTTAGTGTCTCACATAGGTTCCTGCCAGTGAGACTTCCAACTTCCAGGGAGTGATAGGTTCACATGGGAAAATGCCATTGGTCAAGATGTGATTAGGACCTTTGTCCAGACTGAAACCTGCAGAGGTCTGCATGTCTCTTCTGACATCTGTGTCCGTGGAGGAGGCCTTACCGCTGTTAATGAGTGCAGTTAACTGCAGCAAAGTCTTAGGTATAGCCTTAAAACTCTTCTACCTAAATTCAGAATGGGAAAGAAAGCTGAAAAAGGTGTTTGTATTTTTTTCCCCCAGAGAATTAGCAAACATTGCTTTTGTTGCCAGATGATACTTTTGTGAAGCTTTCCTGATGATCTCTTCCTGAGTCCTTTTGTCTCCTTTACTGTCACAGCTTCCCCAGGCATCTCTGGTTTTCTTCTGAGCAGCCTGTCAATCAAGCAGCTAATTCTTGCAGCTTACAAGTGTGTGCCTGTCTCTCCCTGAATCGCTCTTCTCCTGAATCCGCCTCTTTGGATCCTTCTCTTTCACACAGTTAACTGTGAGGTTTTTCTTGCTCTGACACACTTTGCCCTAAGATTACTTGCTGTGCACTTTTGCCCTCTCTTTCCCATTTCCTGTTTCCTAGTCTGTTGCATTAGCAAGCCACCACAGTGCTATTAACTTCTCTCCTTTCAATACCGTATGCTAAGAACTGCTCTCAGGTTGGTGTGTTAACTGGAACTCATATCCTGTTGATGGTCACATCGATCTTTGCCTTGCTGAGAGTCTTCATTCCCCAGCTCTGACATTTCCTCTGTTTCTGTCTGTCATCTTCTAAGAAACCTCATACCTCACAGACAAGTTCTTCCCATCTATGTTCTATTTTGAGCTCTGCTTTTGCTGAATAGCTATTTAACTTTAGCACTTAGGCCACTGCAGCATTTCTGCGTATCTTCTGCGGAATTTTTCGTTGCTTGGTAGGCCTGATTGGGGCATATTAGCACCAGCAGGCTTCATCCTCTCTGCAGTTTTAGGGGGAAGCAGTTGCCTTCAGAGAGGTGATTCCTGACACCTGTGTCAGCAACTTAGCTCCTTCTTAGCTCAGGAGCCCTGAATCGCAGTCAGCCTGTCTTCTTGCTGAGAAAGTAGAAAATACAATGCATTTTCTGACTTTCCTCACGTTCTTGTTAATGTAATCTATTCAGCCTCCTCATTGCATGTAAGGGGTAGCATAGATTGTAGTCATTTTCAACCTATTAAAGTGATCAGAGGCGTTATAGAATTTTAAGGCATGACTTTTTAGCTTCTTTTCTTAAATATTCCTTTATTCCTGCTTAGCAGGCGGCATCTGTAGGAGGAATAAACAGATTTGTTTCTTTAATGCAATATTTTAAGGTTCCTAGTTTTTCTTTTCTTCCTCCCCCCACCCCAGGAAATTTTTCAATGAAAAACTTAACTCTACATATTTCATCTTTTTAGTACCTCAGTTACAGAGTTTTAGCCTACAGTGGTATGGAACACTGGAATAATAAATCTGAAAAGGCTCCTCTTAAGGC